TGCTGAGGATCCAACACTCCCCCGATACTCACAGACTGGACTGCAAATCCTTGGCCTCGTCACCGCAGTCAACGGCAACGCACTTCCTAAAGAGACTGCGACAGTTGAGCAGGCTCTGGGGGGGGAACACAGAGAGAAATGGCGTGAAGCCATGGGCAGAGAATTAAAGGCATTGGAGGAACGCAACACCTGGAAGGTCGTTCCCGCAAGCGTGGCAAGGAACAAGACCATTCTCACCGGGAAATGGGTCTTCCGCATCAAAACGAAAGCAGACGGCACAATCAAGAAGTTCAAAGCACGCTGGGTCGTGCGTGGATTTGACCAGGAGCAAGGACGAGACTTCACCGAGACTTTCGCCCCAGTTAGTCGACATACCTCTCTTCGAATTCTTCTCGCCGTCGTCGCCATGAAGAAGAAGAAACTACGGCAAATTGATGTCGCCAACGCGTTTCTCTACGCCCCCGTCAACGCCGAAATCTCCGTCGAACTCCCACACGGTACCCACGGAAACCCCAATCAGGTCTGCCAGCTACTGAAATCGCTCTACGGAATCAAACAAGCCCCGCGGCTGTGGCAACAGCACCTACACACCCGCCTCACCCGCATCGGATTCCGCCAACTACCTCACGACCAAGGGATGTACCGACTCACCAAAAACGCAGACTAGATCCTGCTGATCGTCTACGTCGACGACCTACTCTACATCGGCTGTTAAAGTAATTAGAACGTAAGGGCCTAGGCTTAGGAGCCTAGGCCCAACTTAGGTATCGAGTGAGTTGGGCCCAAGGGGGAGAGTCGAGAATTGTTGTGAAGGTGAAAAGTGAGTTTCACTATAGGTTCAAGGAACATATAGCATAGGAAACAAAAGGGTGCACCACCTAACAAAATTTGCAATAACTACACTAACTACAGCTACAGGCAGTTACAAATATAAATAATATAAAGTCTGACACTCCCCCATAACTGCCTGCAGCAGAAGTTTGTGCAGAACACAACTTGCAGGGGTACACAAGCAACACAAGCAAGATAATAACCAAGCAACAGCAGGTACTGCAGGCGGGCAGACACTAACTGGTCACCCCCTCTATCACCTCACCCTCCTCCCTCCCCTCCCCCACACTGCTGCAGGAGCAGTAGAGAGGGGGGGAAGAGAGGAGAGGTGGAGGGACGGCTGCTGGTTGCCTCACACCCGTCACCCCGGCGCCTCTCCCCCTGCTCCCCCACACCCTCACACCCTCCCCCCCAGCGGCAGCTGCAGCAGTGGGAACAAAAGGAGGAGGAGGGGAAGGGAAGGGTACGACCCACACTCCAACACCCTCCACCCCCATACCCTCCTCCCCGCGGCTGCAGGGAGACAAAGGAGGAGGGGGGTGGGAAGGAAGAAAGCCGCAGAGCGGCGAAAAGGTGTCGGTGCAGTGGTGTCAGGGGCGGCTTCAGGGAGTGCAGGGGCGGAAAGCACCGTCGCAGGCGCCAATGGCGGGTCCGCGACGGCTCAAGGGCACCGCCGCGGGCGCCAGGGGCGGGTCCGCGATGGCGCAGGGCACCACCGCAGGCGCCAGAGGCGGGTCCGCGGCGGCTCAGTGCACCGCCGCAGGCGCCAGATGCGGGTCCGCGACGGCTCAGGGCACCGCCGCAGGCGCCAGAGGCGGGTCCGCGACGGCTCAGAGCGCCGTCGCGGGCGCCAGGGGCGGGTCCGCGACGGGTAGAAAAAAAAAAAGACGTCACGCGCCCGAGGCGCGCGACCAGAAATTCAGCAGCGGAAGCTTTGGTCGGGCCCACAGGCCAGGACCAAACTGCTCTGATAACCATGTTAAAGTAATTAGAACGTAAGGGCCTAGGCTTAGGAGCCTAGGCCCAACTTAGGTATCGAGTGAGTTGGGCCCAAGGGGGAGAGTCGAGAATTGTTGTGAAGGTGAAAAGTGAGTTTCACTATAGGTTCAAGGAACATATAGCATAGGAAACAAAAGGGTGCACCACCTAACAAAATTTGCAATAACTACACTAACTACAGCTACAGGCAGTTACAAATATAAATAATATAAAGTCTGACATCGGCTCCACCGACGACATCACCTCCTGGTTCGAAGGGGAGCTGCAGAAGGACCTCACGCTCATGGTTTCTTCTACCGTCACCCAGTACCTCGGGCTCAACATCCGCGAAGAAGAGAATGCGATTTACCTAAGCGCCGAGAAATACGCCGACACTATCGCCAAGCGTTTCGCGCTCACACCTACCGCTATCGCCACGCCATACCGCTACACGGCAGGAAATGACAAAGGAAATTCCGCACCACTCAAAGCTGCCGGAATACGTGACTACCAGAGGAAACTGGGCTGCCTCCTCTTCGCAGCCGTCACCTGCCGCCCGGATCTATCCTACTCCGCAAGCCAACTCGCTACCTACCTCAAGAAACCCGAAGCAGAGCACCTGGCTTAGCTCGATCGCACACTGCACTACTTCGTGAGCACACCGACGATCGGTCTGACTTACTACAAGAGCAAAGCTACATCAACGAAACTAATCGGCTACGTCGATGCCGATCATGCCGGCGATCCAGATAACAGGCGCTCCCGCGCTGGCTACATCTATCGTCTCGAGCCTATCGGACCTATCTCCTGGCAGTCAAACAAGCAGGAACTAATCGCTCTATCTTCAGCTGAAGCAGAATATATCGCCCTCTGCTCAGCCACCAAGGAAGGAATATACCTTCGTGAGCTGCTGGAAGAAGCAAAGTTAGCTGAGTTACCCAACTTCACTCTGTTCTGCGACAACCAATCTGCAATTCGCATCGCCAACAAAAGCGGATTCGCGAACAGAACGAAGCATATCGCTCTGCGATACTTCTTCGTGAAAGACGAGATCGAGAAAGGGAAACTCGAATTATCTTACTGTCCCACGTCCGAGATGGCAGCCGACTACTTGACCAAGAAGCTCGGAAAACAGAAGTTCGAGTACTGCATGCTGCTGACTGGACAAGGCCACGTCACCATCAGCGACACTCCAGAAGCGAAGGGGAGTGTTGGGAATAACAAGTCTTAAGCACCTCTGTCGTGTCGAAACTCCGTACACAAGCGAAGCAGCTCAAATCGAAGCGCAACGAGTCAACCCTCGGAGGTTAGGGTAACCGCTGGAGGTTACGCGAAGGTCAAAGGTCGCTGACCTTTGACTTGACAAATACAGCGCGACAGCAAGGACGCACAACTGACTCGACATTGAGCAGTTGCCCGAGTCGCACTGTCGCAACAGCAAGAACAGTTTAATTATATCTATTCGTATTCCTTGTACTCATATATAAGGCTTTGTATTTGCTTGTTTTAATCAACTTACTTTGCCCTCACATACCAGCGCAAGGTGGTTCAAGGACCTTTCATTCAACGCTTCCGCTATTACAATCCTACTCAGACTTTAACTCTACAAAGATCCTAGGGCACTTCAGCCCAACACCCTTAACCCTTTCTCTCTCCCCTGTTCTCCCCCCCCCCCCCCCCCCCCCCCTCCCTCCTCCCCAGTGGTCCGCACTATGTCCATCAAGCTAGCAGCAAAGAAGCAGCCACTGGCTGCCATCCTCCTCCACCCAGGAACAGTCGACACAGATATGTCCAAACCATTCCAGAGGGGCGTGCCGCCCGGAAAGCTCTTCACGCGCAAGTTTGTCGCCCAAAATCTTCTGGGGATTATAGACAGGGTCACTGCAGCTGATAATGGCAAGTTTTTTGCCTGGGATGGGCAGGAAATTCCTTGGTAGAGGAAATTTCTTCATTAGGACCGTTTCCCCTGCTGTCTCTCGCGACTGGCACAAAGAGGTGGTTCTCATGGCTCCTAGTACCGTATAACCCTCCCCCCCCCCCCCCCCCCCCCCCTCCCGCCCAAATTGAAGGATACACCCTGAAAAGTTTAATTGCAATGTAAAATTGCTGCTGTTGAAGTGATCATGATTTTGGGGGGAATTTGTAGGAAGTCCCCCGGAGCTAGTATATCCAGGAATTTCTGTATAAATAATTAAATATATGGTGTAATATATGCTGCTAATTTCCTGAAAGCAAATCCTA